ATGTGTGAGTCAGTGCGCTCGTTGGCATATATGCAGTATATAAACGGACCTAGATTACTCCCCTGGGGTATTCTGCAGTTATTTTTCGACGTGAAGAGGACACATCTTTAGATCTGATTTGAAAAGATCTTTCATATATGTATGTAATTTTTAAGCAGTTTGTGAACATTCGCAGGTAGTAATGTGATAATTTTGTGCATTAGTCCGTTGTGCCAGACTTTATCGAAAACTTGAGAAATATTGCTTGCTCTCGAAGGCCTTCCGAATAAGGGTAGTTATTCGATGTACCTGTTCTATAGTGCTGTCCTTTCTTCTGAAACCCAACTGGTGGTCAGGAATAATGCAATTTAAGGTGTGCTATAATGCTTTCAAACAATAACTTTTCAAAAAGTTTTGAGAATATGGACAACAGGCTAATGGGACGGTATGATGTTATTTGAGTGACATCTTTCCCCGGTTTTGGTATCATAACAATTTCGGATACTTTCCATGAGGTAGGGAAATATCCAATACGTAGCATCGAGTTGAAGATGAACAAAATAATTCTCAGTGTTGAATTGGGCAGGTTACTTATCATAGTGGTAGTAATTTTCTCTATACCAGGTGATTTTCCTGTCTGTAGACCTTTGATTGTCGTCTTCACGGTAGAGAACCGGAATTTTATTGGGCGTTAGCAGTATTATTTATGTTAGCACTAATAGAAGAATCTGTATCACTTTCAGTAAACACATTCTCCAAGTGATTGGCGAATGCTTCAATTTTTTCTGACGTATTTCTTGCCTATTAACCATTCTGGATGCGTATGGGTGACTCATATGCAATAGGGTATTGCATATGTTTAACAGCTTTCCAGAGACTATATTCTGTTTTCTTAGTAGGGTCTAAGTTTTTGAGATAATTTCACAGATTAGATTCCTTATTATTTTTTAAGGCGATATGAAGTCTTCTTTGGCACTGATTAAGTTTAAGATCGCGATTGTTGCCATTGACGTCTGAGTGTTCTCTTTTCTTTAATAAAAGATTCAATGTTCCTAGGACATTTCGAATTTTTGTAGTCTCCCAAGGTGACTGGAGGTGTAGACACTTTGGCAGCATCTTGTAAGATATCCGTAAATATATCGACAGCGGATTTGTTTGTGGCATTTTATATTTTAACCAGTACGTCTTCTTGTTAGGGAAACAAAAACAATAGTTTTCCAATTTCTTATTCATATTGAGGTCTGTAGGCCAATAGGTAGGTTGGCCACTAGATATCTAAAGTGTAGTATTCGTTGATTCTGAAACAATTCTTTAGGGTAAAGTGTGTTTCAGAGACGAGTAGTTCGTCAATTCCCTGAAGTAGCAGGAGTTGTTCTACTTCATTCTTGTGTTGGCTAAGGCCGTTAGCATTCCAAAAACAAATTCAAATTCTGCATGAGCATGCTTTGATTCTGCATTAATTGTTGAAACATATTTTGCATATTTGCCATTAAACTGTTCATGGTTTGAATTAGATTCTCAATAGGGCTTTGATAATTTGTTTCGGGTGGTGGTATACCCTCTTTTAATGCATGTGCATATGAAAATAATGTGGCATTATTAAGACTTTTATATTGGGCACTAGAAGTTTGTTTTGCGTGCATTTGGGTAACGGAACCCTCTTTTATCGTATGGGCATACGATTTATTCTGATTACTTTTATTTGTGATACTTCTATATTGAGCACTAGAAGTATTAGGAAGTCTTGGGAAGTTAGAAGCTTTATATTGAGTTTACAAAGGTCTTCTGGCCTTATTTGATTGTTGGATGTGTAGATATACTGGACATCGGAGATAGTTAGCAGAGTGATTTTGACCACAGTTACTGCATTTTCTTTTATTGTTATCTGCTTTTGGGTGGACACAATCTTGGTCCTTATAAAGTATTTTTTTTTCAAAATTAATAAGTGAATTTATAAAAAATACGTCTAAACGCTTATGTACTTCAATTTGGACCTGTCAAAATAATAGCACCAATGAATTTATTTTTGGCAAAAATGCAAAGTAATGCATAATATTTTATTAAAACTCATTAAAAAAGGTAAGCTGCTATTTGTATTATTAATTATTAATGGCAAATTAAAAAATCAACAATTAATTCTTTAGTTAAATAATGGAAATGTAGACAAAAGATGTTGTATGTAGAAACATATAAGAAAGATCTTCATCCACATGGTGGAAAAGTACGTATTTGCGCGTCCACATAAATTAGCGGAGTAGCTGTTTATTTGTATATTGATTGCTCCATACACTTCAGCTACAGCACGACCATTGCATGCATAGCTTCATTTATTCAAAGGACTCAATTGATTAATTGTCGATAAATTCACACAATATCTTCAATAAATATACAAAACAGAAGAACACTTCTCTAAAATTTTGCTGGTATATACTGGTATTTATAAAGAGAAACTGATAATGGTAGTTTTAGCAACACAGTGTAAATATGTACATCAAGATAGGACATCGCCTTAAGTCTTTATTTGCAAATGATATGAAATTTTATTATTTGTCTTAAAAAAAAAAAAATAAAAATTGCATTAATTTATGATGCATTTAGGAATTATAGGCTTTTAAGAATTATAGCATTTTAAGAATTATAGCATTTGATTTAAAATAATAGGCTATTTCACGCACTGCAAAGAACAAACACATGAAACAATTAAAAAAAAACTGATTTCTAGAGGGAAAGCATAATACCGATAAGAAATATTGAGGGATGTTCAAATGATATGATAACAAATTATCATATCTTACAAATTTAAACCGAAATTGCTGGACTTTAAACCACTAATTTTTTTTAAATGATTAGAGGTATAGTGAGATAAATAAAAATAACTTCAATTTTGTTAAAACTGAAAAAAGATTAAGAGATGTATAGCTCAGGAAAAGTGCTATTCTTGAAAACAAGGATGTAATAACAGTGTTAGAGTATGTTAAAACTCATTTAGATTAGCCAGTTGAAAACTGGGACATTGCTATTTGAGTAGATAGGTCCAAAATAATTTAATTTTTTAGAAAGTGTTCTTTATCTAACGTAAGAAGTCCTCCAAATTCAAAAAATATTCGAAAAATGTTAAAAAAGACCGCAAAATATGGCGGTTTTAGTAATACGGTATTTTGATGCTTTCCGTTCTATGATATAGCACCCATTACCCATATAGTAACTATCATGGACGCATCGGAATAAATTAAAATCCATATGTAAATTATATTTCCGAATGTATCTGATGATATTCCACCGATTTCGGTCATGAAATAATAAAAGGCCCACGTAACACCCGAAGAAAAGTCAAAAACTAGATTTTGGACAATAGAGCCGCTGTAATTGAGAGGCCTGCTCAGAGCTCCGATCTAATATCAATCGAGAATTTGTATGCCGATGTAAAGTGAAAGATATGTGAAATAAAACCAACCAACAAATTTTTGGAGCACTGTGGAACAGGCATGGTTGTCCATTTCCCAGGAAGTTGTGAGAATTTGGTGAATTAAATTAAAGTGGTTGGCTAGCCCCCATGGACCTAGGGTAACGCAACCATAAGCTAATAATAAATCTTAAAGTTAATTTGACACAAAACTACTCAAGTTATGAACGCTTTAAAACATTTTCCATTTTTATTTAACATGTGAACATAAGTGGTGCTATTATTTTGACATACAATTTCTTTTTTTAAAAAAAAACTAATTATTTTCAATGATAATGAATTTATCTGATTCCGTTTTTTTCTTTTATATATTCTTAACACATTTCTAAATATTTTAAAACAATATACACACACCACTTTTAAATAATATACGTTTTTTTAATAATTTTAAATTTATTAAGGGAGTGGTGCTATTCCGACAGCAGCTGTATATTAGAGTGTCCCGAGGAATTTCATGTACTGAATACGAGAAAAATAAAAAATATTTTTTTCGAATGGTCTTCAGTTCCCCACCAGCGATTGAAATTCCAGACTTCAGTATAAATTTTGAAAAATGAAATATCTTAGATTTTTTGAAATGGGTCTCAAAAATTCCGTAATTTTGAGCTATCAAAATTGTCGTAATTTTCAGCTGTAAAATTAGGTATGTTCGCATACTTTCCAGTAAAAAATATCCAGTAACTTTATGATAGAGAGTAATTTTGAATTTACTCTCAATGACAAAAATATCAAAAAAGTACGCGAACGCAAATTTGTAAAAAAGTTTTTGTTTATAAACAAAGATTAGTAAGCCCTTTTGCTGAAATCTCAATCGCTAACAAAACACCAAAAACAACAAACCCCAGCTGAAGTTGCAGACGTCATCAACAACGCCAAACCATCTAAGGCGATTGGCCCCGACGGAATATCCATGCTGATGTTAAAACACCTTGGCGAGCGGGGAGTTGAGTACCTGACTATGGTTTTCAACAAGTCAGTGAGCAGCCTCGTAATACCCGAAGCCTGGAAAAAGGGTAGAGTCATTCCCATCTTAAAACCCGGGAAAGACGCGACAGAGGGACAATCATACAGGCCGATTTCCCTCCTATCACCAGTCGCGAAGACTCTTGAGGCGCTTCTCCTCCCCCAGCTGTCCAGCCACCTAACAGCAGCTCGTCACCAGCATGGCTTCCGCAAAATGCACAACACCACTACAACATTAACCGCCATTGCCACTCAGATCTCACAAGGCTTAAACCAGCAGAGGCCCTGTGAAAGGACGGTCCTAGTGGCTCTTGACCTGTCGAAGGCCTTCGACACTGTCAGTCACGCCACACTCTTCGAGGATATCCTGCAATCCACAATGCCCAACAACACGAAGAGATGGATCGTAAATTATCTGAGTGGTTGTCAGTCGTTCGTGGAGTTTAGAGACAGACGCTCCAAACCCCGTAGAGTTAAACAAGGCGTACCTCAAGGTGGAGTACTATCGCCACATTTGTTTAACTTCTACCTCTCTAAGCTCCCCGCACCTCCACAAATCGTGGAAGTGATTTCATATGCGGACGACTGTACAATCATGGCGACGGGCCACAACATTGATGAATTATGCGTTCTGGTGAATGGTTATCTCCGCGAAATACATCAGTTCTTCACTGCGCGTAACCTGCAATTATCACCAGCGAAGTCGTCAACAACACTTTTTACCACCTGGACGAAGGAAGTAAACCTTAACCTTGGCATCGTGGTCGATGGAGTCCAAATTCCGACCGTGCACCACCCAAAAATATTGGGTGTCACATTTGATAGCCTCTTTACTTACTCAGCTCACGCCACTGCAATCACGCACAAATTGCGAAGTAGAAACAAGGTCCTCAAAGCGCTAACCGGCAGCACTTGGGGTATGGATAAAGAAACCTTGTTGGCTACATATAAAACGATTGGTCGGTCAGTGGTTAACTATGCTGCTCCAGTGTGGTCACCTTCGCTAAGTGATACCCAGTGGAGAAACATTCAAAGCTGCCAAAATGCCGCCCTAAGGACTGTAACGGGCGGCCTACAAATTACCTCGGAACATCACCTGCACGAGGAAACGAAGGTCCTTCCAGTCAAGGAACACAATGTCATGTTGACTAAACAGTTCCTCCTGGGATGTCATCGGAGAAGTCATCCCAATTTTAACATCATACAATTGGATACTCCCCCGAGACATGTCAGGAAGGATCTTCGTATATACGAGGAAAACATATGCAGATATGTGCGGGATCCACTGGATCAGTCCTCGTATTCGGCAGCTTTGAACGACATTCATAGAGACGCCATAAACTCCGCGGTCGCAGGATACCGCATGAATGTCGTACTTGGAGGTCGCCCACCGCCCATAGCAGACACGGAAGAAAACCTGCCGCGGAAAACAAGAGTAGTTCTGGCACAACTAAGATCGGGATGGAGCAACAGGCTCAATGCCTACTGGTCACGTATAGACCGTGCCGTCCCCAACGAATGTCCTGCATGTGGTCAGGGTCCTCATGACACCCACCACATATTCAACTGCTCAGCCAACCCTACTTCACTCTGTCCAATGGATTTATGGACGCATCCAGTTGAAGTAGCCCAATTTTTAGGCCTGGACATTGATGCAGAACCTCCCAACTAGATTATTGTATAGTTTTAGCTGTTACAACAACAACAACAACAAAAATAAGATTTTTCTTATAAATGAAATGATATTTAAAGTTAACAAATCATGTAATATCATTAAAAATATATTATTGTTTTAAAACTTCGTGTTACAAACATGTTATTAAAATCAAAATTTACATAAAATCACTAAGAGAAGGACACTCTATATTGTTTTAGAAACGCTAGATTGTGAATATTTATTATGATTTTTCACAACAAACAAACTCTTTTAAAAATTAATTTATGATAAATAGAATTAGAATAAATCTAATTACAAATAATTTTTTAATATTCGTGTGCTATTTATTTATATATTTCTTTCTAAAAATGTAAAACTTACCAAATTTTCGTTTTGTTTGTTTACATATGTTGTGAACATACGTCTGATATTTTTTACTGGGAAAAAATATCCACTAAAATTAAAAAAAGCCCATCAACATCATTTTTATCGCTCTCTTACTCTCTCTTTGCAAGTTTTCAAAAGTACGCGAACGGAATCCAGTAACAATTGTTACAAATTATTACAAATTATCGAGTACGCGAACAGACCTATTGTCGCTTCCACAGAAAAATATTAAAAAAAATGTTTGGCATTTGTTTTTGTCCATTTCAGGATTTTTTGAAATTTATATGCCCCTTATAATACAGTAAAAGACGTTTTGTGACTAGAAGTAGACTAACAAAAATTTTAATTATTTTTCCCGCGATAAGCTCAAAATTTCGAAAGATTACAGAATTTTTTTAGGCATATTGTACTGAGATCAAGATTTTCAATCGCAGGTAGGGAACTTAGGACCTTTTCAAAAAAGTCGTTTGAGTGGTATTCCTCCAAAAAACTGTTCTATTTGACACCCTATGGTATATATACTGGAGTACTAGAATGGAATCTGTGCGCGTGTTCTGTAACTTTCGAGTCGTGAAAAAAACATTGAAATATTAGACTCTCCCACTTTTTAGTTGCGTGATTTTAAATTGAACACATTAAAATTACAAAATATATTTGAATTACGTGTGTTCACCCTGTTTTAAACAAGACGGTTATAATTTTTTCGACTTTTTTTGTCGATTCAAAAGTTACAGAACACAGGCACTGGTTCGTCTGAACCCCACAAAAGGATTTCCACATATTGAGATAACCGAAATTTGAACTCGATTAAACTACGTTAACACGTGCCGGTCGTCGCTCAAAGTTTGAAAAAAATCCAAATTTTTGGGCAAAAAACATATGTATATGAAGCTATAACTCGAGAACGCACAGTGGGGCAGAATGGAAATTTTTTGGAAATAAATCTGGCATTTTTAAACGGCTGATCCGATCGGGATAAAATTTGGCGTGAGCGTAGCCAAGGAGTATTCGAGTTTAAGTATTGAAGATGAACCCTGCAGATGCCCCAGGGACGGCGCTGTGGCGGCTCAAAGTAGGGTACCTACGACATGTAAAATTTTTAAACTGAACCCTAAATTTTGAAGATGAACCCTGCAGACGCCCCAGGGACGGCGCTGTGGCGGCTCAAAGTAGGGTACCTACGACATGTAAAATTTTTAAACTCGTGCCATTTGTTTTTCACCCAAATACAAAGATTTTTATATTTTGTGAAAGCGCTCGACGAGATCTTGAAAAAACATGCTTGGACATACTACTTATCTCTTATAATATCCGAGTTATAGGCATTTAAAAATTTAGTGATACAAAATTTACCATACCTTGGTCCGCCTTTTTTTGAATACCGGGCGCACAGTGGTATAGGAAAAAAAAAAGAGGGAAATAATTCGGTAACTTCTAAACGGTTAATCCGATTTTAATGAAATTTGGTATGCACAAAGAGGAGGTGTTGTCGAGTTTAGGTTTTGAATTTGGACCTTATAGGCCAACCAGGGGCCCGGCGGGGGGTCCTCAAATTAGGACACCTCGGCTATGTTAAATTTTTAAAACGATCCTATTTCTTCATTTGAGTTCCGATTTAAAAAAAATTTCGTATATAGAATCTCCTCATCGAGCACTATAAAAAATGTCGTCGTAGCAGTAAATTATCTCTTATAGTTTAGGAGATATTCGCATTTGAATATTAAAATTTTAAAATTTTTACCGTCCTTACTTTAGTTTTTTTGATAATAGCAGGTCCAAATATTTCCGATTTTCGCCATTTTTTTTTATTTGCTTAACAACAAGTTTATATACCAAGCAGTGAAAGAATTATGTAAAAATCATGACTGAGTCCAAAGTTATAGGCATTTAAATTTAAAAAATTAAAAAAAGGCGATTTTTTGTCATTTTTTTGGGAAAAAAGTATCTTTTTCTTTTTAAGTTATCTAAAAAGTTTCTAAGAAGATGTATATAGAATTTATACTTTTTGGAAAGCTGACTTTACATAAAATACGATAAATGAAACAAAACCTAAAAATTTTTGATACCGAGGGGACCAGGTCCATCCAAAAAAACCCTATTTTTTATGGAAAATTAAATTTTGAGCAAAAATTCTCAAATCGCATAGTCGATATCAAATTATAGTGACCTGTTTTATATGACCCAATAAGTTCTTAATCATTTTGTAACGGGTTTCGATAACCCCGCCCCTGGTATGGATATAATAGGCAAAAAACCAAAAATCCCATTTTTGGGATTTTTTAAAACTTTTTTGGGAATTCCGGGATTTCTAATAAGAAAATTCGAAATTTTTATTTAATTTTGGATTTTGAGTAAAAAAATCTACCTAACTGTAAAATTTCATCAAAAAATATTCATAAATAAAATTTTTATTGCAATTTGAAAAATTTGTATCTTCGCAAAAACTGAATAAAAAACATTTTTAATTTTTTTTAAAAAAAGTATTCCGCGAATTTTTTAATTTTCAAAAATTATATACAGTTTTGAAAAATAGACAAAATTACCTTTCCATTGATATATAACATGCCTACCTAATGTTTTTTAAGTGACAAATTAATTAGGGAAAACTCAACATCTTTTAGAAAATTTACCTAGCACTATTATTTTCATCCATATATGTAACAAATTTAAGAGTTAACCTTATGGATGAAAATAATAGTGCTAGGCAAATTTTCTAAAAGATGTTGAGTTTTCCCTAATTAATTTGTCACTTAAAAAACATTAGGTAGGCATGTTATATATCAATGGAAAGGTAATTTTGTCTATTTTTCAAAACTGTATATAATTTTTGAAAATTAAAAAATTCGCGGAATACTTTTTTTAAAAAAATTTAAAAAATGTTTTTTATTCAGTTTTTGCGAAGATACAAATTTTTCTAATTGCAATAAAAATTTTATTTATGAATATTTTTTGATGAAATTTTACAGTTAGGTAGATTTTTTTACTTAAAATCCAAAATTAAATCAAAATTTCGAATTTTCTTATTAGAAATCCCGGAATTCCCAAAAAAGTTTTAAAAAATCCCAAAAATGGGATTTTTTAGTTTTTTGCCTATTATATCCATACCAGGGGCGGGGTTATCGAAACCCGTTACAAAATGATTAAGAACATATTGGGTCATATAAAACAGGTCACTATAATTTGATATCGACTATGCGATTTGAGAATTTTTGCTCAAAATTTAATTTTCCATAAAAAATAGGGTTTTTTTGGATGGACCTGGTCCCCTCGGTATCAAAAATTTTTAGGTTTTGTTTCATTTATCGTACTTTATGTAAAGTCAGCTTTCCAAAAAGTATAAATTCTATATACATCTTCTTAGAAACTTTTTAGATAACTTAAAAAGAAAAAGATACTTTTTTCCCAAAAAAATGACAAAAAATCGCCTTTTTTTAATTTTTTAAATTAAAATGCCTATAACTTTGGACTCAGTCATGATTTTTACATAATTCTTTCACTGCTTGATATATAAACTTGTTGTTAAGCGAATAAAAAAAAATGGCGAAAATCGGGAATATTTGGACCTGCTATTATCAAAAAAAACTAAAGTAAGGACGGTAAAAATTTTAAAATTTTAATTTTCAAATGCGAATATCTCCTAAACTATAAGAGATAATTTACTGCTATGACAACATTTTTTATAGTGCTCGATGAGGAGATTCTATATACGAAATTTTTTTTAAATCGGAACTCAAATGAAGAAATAGGATCGTTTTAAAAATTTAACATAGCCGAGGTGTCCTAATTTGATGACCCCCCGCCGGGCCCCTGGTTGGCCTATAAGGTCCAAATTCAAAACCTAAACTCGACAACACCTCCTCTTTGTGCACACCAAATTTCATTAAAATCGGATTAACCGTTTAGAAGTTACCGAATTATTTCCCTCTTTTTTTTTTCCTATACCACTGTGGAGCGTAATTTTGGACCAAATGGACTCAATTTCTTATTAGTTAGACAACAAAATTTCCAATAATATACAAAAAATTTCAGATCAATATCATTTACAGATCCAAAAATATACGTTTTTTAATTTATAAATTCAAAAAATTTTAGATTTTTGCCGTTTTTTGCCAAAAATGTGTCTTAACTCTTTTATTAATAAAATAAAATTTTCTTTAAGAACATATAACAATTTTATAGTTTTCTAAAAGGTATCTTTACGCAGAACGCTTTGGCGTAAAAAACTTGTCCTATTTTTTGAAAATGTTGCCACTGCGTCCTTCCGAATATGACCTATTTTTTATCAAAACTTCAACTTTGGGCGACATGTTCTAAAAT